GTCCATGGTCTGTAGTAAACACTTGCCATCACGTGGTTGAAGTACGTTTGTCACTTCAATTTAAAAACATATAACCAAAGCAATTTTTATACGTGGCAGAGCCACGCTGCAGTTATAGTATAGTTGTAGCACGAACGGGTCGGCTCGACCGGGGCAGGACCACACTTTCACAAAATACCAGCGTAAAATAGTAGCTTAATGCTGCTGTGTTTCGAATGGTGGGTGAAGGGAACCGGAGACCCTTTTTATTGGAAACGAGGCATTCCATCTTAGTCCTCACGGGTGACAACGCATCTGCATTTTGATTTTTAATCAAGGATACACGTAGGTGTCTATGGGCCACAACATCCACTTACCATCAGGTGTAACTGTGTGCTCGTTTGTCATCCTACCCTATATAAAAAGCATAACCAGTTTTAAAATTTAGCTTGCGTTCATTCATTAATTTAGCTTGCGGTCAAGTGTAAATAAGGCGAAGCAACGCAGGACTTTGTTAATTACAAAGCTCTACCTAATTAAACTGCTGCCGTCAATGAATTGCTCAGTTAGTTACTTCCTTATTTATTCAGTGGGTACGCGTAGTTAATTTCTAAATTCATTCAACGGAAGTTGTTAAGATGTACTTTTGCATTTCTAATAAACATAGCGATTAGTTGAATGTTTAATGGGCCGTTAATAAGAGTTATAATTCCAAATGTGTACCCTTTTCGGAATTACAGCTTTCAATTACGGTTCATTTAACTTTGAACTAATCGTTATATTTATTGGAAATGCAAAAAATATGTATTCTTTTTTAAATTACCACGTTTTTAGTATTGATAATTTTCTTTCATGTTTTTTATTGTCATCCGATTCCCAGTTATGTTGAAAATTTCAAATCTCTAGCTCATTGAACACACGAAAGCGAGTTAATAAACACGTGGTTATGAAATATATTATATTTCTACATAAACATACATATAATACACACATAGTATACACACACACATAAAATATCTAGCAGAATATAATAGTATATAATAAATTTTGTAGAGTGGGCAAAATTACTTATACAACGTGTAATATAAACCCTATGGTTCTCGTTAACTGCGTTAACATAATCAGTATTCAAACATATAGAAATAACTTTACTTCATAAAATATATTTTTTTCTTAATATAATTGAAATTATTTTTATTTCAAAATTGTATGTGGTTTTATCACCTCTGCATTGGCCTTTGATAAATAATGCTCCTTGTATTATCAGAGACCCCACTGTAACAATGCGCGTGTTAGAAGTAATAAAACTGCATATAATATGCAAATACAAATTTATTGCAATTTTTTTAGGATCGCATTTTCTGAAGTAAAGTTATTTCTATACGTTTGAATACTGATGTTGATAACGCGATTAAGGAGAACCACAGGGTTTTTATTACATGTTGTATAAGTATCCTAATAATATCCTAACTGTAATAAAATTAGAATATTTACCCAACTTTTCATATTTAGTAAGGCTTTAGTAATTTCGTTAAAAAAATATATTTTGTACAAGAAAAGAGTTCAATATAGTTAAAGTATTTATTTTATCTACGAGCAATCCTGTGGGGGAAATGAATGAAATGTTAAATATTTATTCATTTTAATTTTTCAGACATTTCATTATAACATCTTTATAATGAAATGTAATGAATTATATTTACGAAAAAACAATACTTATTTACTTATCTTTTCCGCCCAAAAAAAATCAAAATATTTAATTTTAAGATAAAATTTTAATTAACTTCCTATTAGAAGGTTATGTACAACCCGTCGCCAAAATTTTCCAGTGTCTTATAAAAAATATTATTTAATAGCAGTTTACGCACTACTTAATATGAAAATCATTCTTTGGAGATTAAATGTTATTTCTTATTAATTTCACTAGCCTAATTTCTTGTGCTAAATAACTTGTGCATAATATTTCATCACCCTTTGCTCAAATTACGGTGGAAGCTTACAGATCACAGATAATACAGAGACTATAGATTTATTAAATACGTACGAAAATACAGTTGTGTGGACGATCAAATAAAAGAGTGTGAGTGCAAAAGTATTGCCGATATTAATTTGAAAGTACTGAGACGTGAAGCCAGCAGAATGCCGATTACGAAACACGACGCGGACTTAAGTAAGTATAGCGAGGTGTTTAGGATATATTTTATTACATTCCATTTGACTATAACGAGGCCTAAGTACCTAGTACCTACTTTTTTTTTGAAGAGGGGGCAAACGAGCATGCGGCTCACCTGATGTTAAGTGACTACCGCCGCCCATGATCAACCGCAACACCAGGGGAATTGCAGGTGCGTTGCCGGCCCTTTAGAAAGGAGTACGCTCTTTTCTTGAAGGTCCCCAGGTCGTATCGGTCCGGAAAAATCGCTGGTGGTAAACTATTCCACAGAGAGGTTGTACGCGGAAGAAAACTCCTCTTAAAACGTACAGTGGTGGACCGCCAAGCATCCAGATGGTCTCGTTTCTGGACCGGTATCTTCTACGCCTATTTTTTGCGCAGGAAAATCCTCATGGATACCTCTGCTACAGAGGGCGAAATTGAGGTTATGCCGAACTTTTTGCGGCTAATACAGTTATATGCTAATAAGGCTGCGGTGTTCATCTGTTCACACTCTGATTCGACTAATGAAACACTTAACACAACGGCGATGTAACATAACAAAGTTCTACACATTGAGGGAGTATACCTAGAGCTCTTTAATCCTTTATTTTGGGAGACGTTGAAATACTAAGCGCGCCACATTGAGGAAGTCTTATAAGACGACGGATTATCTCTGTTTTCTCCGCCTCGATGCCCAGCTCTCCATCTACAAATAAGGATATCTGACATCTTATTATGTCTTATAGCATAATATAGTATGAATTGACTTCTATAAAATTCGCAATAATGAGAATTTTATTCTCAAATAATATGTCCCTTGTCAGTTGTAATTTCTTTAAAGAATGTTTTTCAAGTTTAATTGTCATCAATTATATTCAAAGATGTGATTTCACTTACATTAAATTCTATTTCCATTTATTGTGATGGTTATTGACGAGTATTAAACTCATCATCATCATTATTACAGCCCTTCAAAAATCCACTGCTGAACATAGGCCTCCCCCAAGGAATGCCACAAAGCACGGTCCTGAGCCACCTGCATCCATCGACTTCCTGCATCTCTTACTAGGTCGTCACTCCATCTAATGGGGGGACGCCCTACACTTCGCCTGCCGGTACGAGGCTGCCACTCGAGAACCTTTTTTCCTCATCGGTTATCGGCTCATCAAGCTATGTGTCCATCCCATTGCCGCTTAACTGCCATTAAACTCATAATGTGTTTTAATAGGTATTTTACTCAGACGTATATTTTTATTATCGTTTTACGGTGAAGCCGTATCAAACACAAATCGTAAACTTAAAAGGAACCTGTTAATAATTTTTTTCAGACTACTGAATGTGTGACTTTATTTACTTGTAATATAACTTCGTATTCATTCTTTCATCGTTGTCTGTCTATCTCCCTGTCAAAATCTTAGAATTTCTTTCCTCAAAAAGAAATAGGAGGTACCATGTAGGTACTAAATACCTATAGTCTGTCTTCTAAGTTCCTATACTACATTATTCATGACATAAACTGTTTAATTAGAATACAAAAGCAAATCGTAGTTTTGTTAGAAACAAAACAGACTTACTATTAAAAATGTGTTTTGTATTTACTTTGTTTCTTAAGAAATTTGATGCTTTTTTAAGAAATTTTTAAGCGAGTTATACAATAAGCGAGTGTGACTACATCCTCCAGGAATGATAAATAACTACTAAGGAAGAATGTCTGAAAACTTTAGCTTTAATGACAAAATCTTCATGAATTAAAGGGATACATAAAGCACGTTTAAGGTAGACGCTATATTGGGGTTATATATTGCTGTGTTAACATTATCAGAATATTTTTTAAATGTTACAATTTGGTTACAATTAAAATATGCTTGTTGGATTGCTATATTGTGTTCCGATACTTAGCCACTGTGATCCTAATTTCATGTAATGATTTCTTATATTTACGCGAACACTACACATATAAATAAAACTAGTTTTTACGGATTATATCGTTTTTTTGCGCCAAAAAGCAAAAGTAGACGGGGCTTCTCCGGGAAGCGGGGGAGGGAGGTGATGAATGCTCTAAGCATACCACGAAGCCGGCTGCGTGGTTATGTCGGACTCACTGTAGGTCCTAGAGTGCCTACCCACTACACCCTACTCATCGTAGTGCCTTTTTGCCATATCGGAAGCGACACCCCTTGGGGAAAGTGAGGCGCAGGCTTGGGAAAAGGGGGGCGCAGGGATTTTATCGCGTATATTAACTTATTTTATATTCCCGACTTTTCGAGCACTTACTGCACTCTTGTTCGGGGGAGGAGAGGAGGGGAGAGACTGAGGTGCTCGACGTCCCATTGTCATAGTTAACAACAGCTACCTCCAGATTAAATTTTTTTATTTTTGTTCCGAACTACGCAGTACGTACTTACAATATCTTGAAGTCTTGCAGTTGTATGCTTATATAAATAAGGGTAGGGTTTTACTGTAAATTCTTAATATACCACCGCCTTCGTTGTGTTAAGCGTTGTGTTCAGTTGTGTTAGTAGTTAACAGGAACATTAGTGTAATAGTGTAAGTTTTTAAATAATAATAAGTCTATATTAAATAACTGACGGAAATTAATTTGCATACCTAAACTAAATCTGTACTTAAGTACATATGAGTGCATATTGCAGTTGCATAATTTTATTGCAAAACAAAGCTATATGCAGCAATACAATGCGGTTAACCGGAGCTAGATCTTGTCACCGCAGTGAGTTGATTCCATTCTGTGCCAATATATTGGAAGTGGATGTACGTAATTCTCGTGGTTTCTTGTGTTGCTGAGTATATTTACTTTATTTCCAAAATATATCAATTTAAATAATTTTTATTTTTTATTATTTTAAAAATGTTCCTAAAATTAACGGATGGATGTGACTATGATAATGTGAATTTTAACGGAATGGATGTAAATAGAAGAAGATATACAAATCTGTCAAGAAAGTACCGGGAAAAGATCAATAATACACAAATTTATTTATCCAAGTTTATTTTATCATCTTCAAAGTATGCTCCTTCAGAAAAGATACACTTTCCCCAACGAACAATCCAATCATCAAAAGATTTTTTAAACACTTTTTCCGGAATTGAGTTTAGTTCTCGTTGTGAATTCTCCCTTATGTCTTCTACCGAATGAAATGGGTCCCACGAAGTGGTAATTTGAGTTTAGGAAAAAAGAAAAAGTTTGCTGGAACCATGTGGTATTTGTTAAGTGTTTGGTAAAAAATACTTTATACGGTACTCAGGTACGTACAAACAATGAAAGACGGGGCGCTGTGTACATTTCTACTTGGTGTTTAACACGCACTCACGTACACATATGCATGTAATAATTTTCAACCAACAATATGGTTTTAGATGCATATGTGTGCGTCCGGCAGAGAACTTTTACGTGTTGTTAAAGAAAGAAAGAAGGAAGATATAGAGTTTAGAAACTGCTCAAACGTTTAGCAATCCGATAAGTAGTATTAGAGGGATGTTTCTCTATTCGGGTATAAGTGACAAACGAGCTAACGGTCTATAATGGTGACTACCGCAGCACACAGACTCCTACAACCAACTTCAAATGAAAAAGGCCCAGTGACTTGTTACCTTTAACTTATTGTGTTAAAATGATTCACACCACAACCTCTATAATTAATGCAATGGCTAAAAGCAGTTAATGCACTACTGCTTGGTGGAAAAATGAATAGGATTTAGGTATATATCACCTAGATCTTACACGATAATGATGTAAGTACTTAACAGTTCATTTATTATTGTTAAAATAATGATATTTTATTAATTCTTACGATAGTTAATTATCATTATTAGTCTGTGGCAGTCCACAGATGGACAGTCTTTTAAGTCTTTAGCCGCGCTACGTACCTGGGTTTTCGGATACGCGCGTGCAGGCCCCATTGCGCAGAGCGTCGCTCCATCTAGTCTGGGGACCGTCCTACATTACGGTTGTCTAGGCATGGTCTCCACTCTGCGACACTGATACTCCACCGGTTGTCACATCTGCGACAGACGTGACTAGCCCATTGCCACTTCAGTTAACAATATTTGAAGTCTATATCAATATTTTAGGATTTACAGTGCATTTCATCATTTTGAATTTTAGTCACCAAAGAAATCAAAGAATTAATGATGATTGTATTATCACTATAACATTTTTTAATTTTATTGTACATATGTATTGCCTTTGGAAATATTCTTAAACTAATACTATGGCACCCGCCACAGAATAAATAAGGCAACTAAAACTAAGCTGCTGTTGTTTTAATTTTAAAATTTTATGTTTAACAATCGCAGCTTAATATGATGAAAGATAGGATATTATGATTGATTTTAAAAATAATTCGTTTTATTTCAGGTCCGCGCCATGGAGCAGCGGCTTTGCGAGTGGCCGGCGGGCGCTGATGGAGCACCAAGAGCCATCTCGCGACTAGAAGGGCAAATCGAGGAACAGGTATTGTATCACTGTACTGTACATTGAGAATTAAAAAAAAAATTCAATATTACGCATCATAATTTTTAAAAGGTCTTTATAAAAGGAGTAAGCTCTTTTTTTAAAGGTCCCTAAGTCGAATCGGTCCGGAAAAAAGCAATGATAAACGAAGTAGGGCATGTAAGAACTCCTAGTAAATGATGGCGCCACCTAAAAATAAGATGTAATATTTGACATGGGTTCATAACGGGGAAGTCAATTTGTTATGAAAATATAAAGGTTAATATTTCTTTCTGTACTAGGTACTAGTTATATTGTATATCAATTAGATTAAAAGTAAAAAAACAGCGTTAAAATTTGCAAAAAAAAATTAAAGCATATCACTGAGGCATTGGGTGCGTTTGACAGAAAAAAGCGCTAGCAAGCGCTTGTAAGCTAAATGGCGAAACTAAACAGTTTTCGGCCAGGACACGTTAGCTAACTTCTGACACAATCCGCCATTTGGCTTATTTAATTTGGTTGTCTTGAAGTAGAGTTTATAAGTTGTTTTGTGCAATATTAGTTTTAAGTAATATAATGACATGAAAATAAATATATACATGTTATTAAAAATTCATGATTAGTAAGTTTTTAACAAGAATACTTTACAAACATATATTTAAATTAGGTTAGGTTCACCGGTTAAAACTAACTTCGTGTCCTAGAGGAAAATAGCTACTTACGATTTGACAGCGCTTACCGCTTACGATCGCCATTTTTCTTACAAGCGCATGCTAGCGCTTTTTTTGCCAATCGCACCCATTGTTATGTGTATTATTAAAATACTCTAGAAACTGATAAACTTTTATTTAAAACTAACTTTTTAATTAAATGACCATGAATGACAGTCAAACAAAAAACTTTACCTCAGTTACAACTAGCGACATCTAGTGAGCGGAATATTATTAGCCCTCAATACACAGTGGTGATAGATAACAAATACTATAAAAACCTACTATAGAAAACTTTAGTATTTGGTGATAAATAACAATACTAGATCTTTGTTTTGCAATTTACAAGGCAGGGCTTGAAATGCCGTTAATACGGTGGTAACGTTACCGTGTTACCGATGCCATGCCGATGAGATACAAACAAAAGTAGCGTTCATAACTACGTAAAATTTTATATGATTTAACGTTAAACGTGCTAACCGCGACCATGGTAACGGCGGGGCTAAGAATCTCCGGTGGAGGTTCGGTTGCCACCTACGACGACTCGACCTGGCAACATATAGCGCACGCACCCTGAGGACTGACGAGAAGATACTGGAGCTGGAAGAAGAGGGAGACAAGTTGCGCTGGCATATTATTAGATTATCCGAGGTCCGAAGAGAGGGGAAGGACACGGTAATCCTCGAGTCCGGCAACTTGTTCTATCACCGGGAGGGCGACCATCTGTCCCAAGGAGGTATCGGATTTATCGTCCACAAGTCTCTCGTCAATAACGTTGTAAAAATTGGGAATGTGTCGACGAGGATCTCGTACCTGATACTCAGAATCACGAAACGGTATTCGCTGAAAGTCATACAGGTTTACGCACCAACCTCGGCACATCCCGATGAGGAGGTGGAAGAAATGTATGAGGATATTTCCAGAGCCATGCATTCCTCCAAAACCCACTACACTGTGTTGATGGGAGACTTCAACGCAAAACTAGGCACAAGAGAAAACGGTGAGCTGAAGTTAGGGAATTGGAGTAGGGCAACGGAGCCGAAGGGGCCAGCAGCTGGCCGACTTTATGGAGAAAGAGAGACTCTTTACGATGAACTCTTTCTTCCAGAAGCGGCCCCACAGGAAGAGGACCTGGTCGAGCCCCGACGGTTCGACAAAAATGAGATTGACTTCATTATGACGACCAGACGCCAACTGTTCAGTGATGTCTCGTGATCGCAAGGGTGAAAACTGGCAGCGATCACCGAATGGTTAGAGGCACACTGAACCTAAACGTTAAGTTGGAGAGGTCTCGTCTAATGAAGTCAACGCTCCGTCCCCCTCGTGCTCTAATCCAGAATCCCGAAACCTTTCAGCTCGAGTTACGTAACCGCTTCCAGTGCCTAGAAGATTGCAATGCAGTGGACGATATGAACGACAAGCTCGTGGAAACTGTCCATGCGGTCGGAGCTAAGTTCTGCAAGACCCACCGCAGAAGAACACAAAAACTCTCCGATCACACTCTTAATCTCATGGCTGTTAGACGGGAGATGAGGCTGCAATCGTCAACAGATTTGACAGCATACAGGCAACTGAACAGACAGATCTCCAAATGCATGCGGCGAGACTTACGCAACTTTAATACTTCTCGTATTAAAGAAGCGATCGAGCGGAACCAGGGCTCCAAAGTCTTTGCCAGAGATCTGTCTGCCAGAAAGAGCCAACTGTCAAAGCTGAAGACTGAGTGTGGCAACATCGTTTCCGGGACACCTGAGATTTTGAGTGAGATTGAGAGGTTCTATGGGCAGCTGTACACATCATCGTTGGAGCCACACGCAAGTGTGAGTAACGATCCAAGAGCAAGTCTTATCCGACACTATTCCGATGATATCCCGGACGTCAGTCTGAGCGAGATTAGAATGGCTCTCCACCACCTTAAAAACGGCAAGGCCCCGGGCGAGGATGGAATTACAGCGGAGCTTCTGAAAGCGGGTGGAAAACCGGTACTTGAAGTCCTTCGGAAGCTCTTCAATTCCGTCCTCCATGGTGGCACTACTCCGGAGGCGTGGAGCAGAAGCGCGGTGGTTTTGTTCTTTAAGAAAGGCGACAACGCTCTCTTGAAGAACTACAGACCGATTTCCCTTCTGAGCCGCGTCTACATGCTATTCTCGAGAGTCATTACGAATCGTCTCGCACGCAGACTCGACGACTTCCAGCCTCCCGAACAAGCCGGTTTCCGAAAAGGCTTCAGTACCATAGACCACATACATACCCTGCGGCAGATTGTACAGAAGACCGAAGAGTACAATCTGCCACTTTGCCTGGCATATGTGGACTATGAGAAAGCCTTTGATTCCATCGAAATTTGGGCGGTGCTACAGTCCCTTCAGCGGTGCCAAGTTGACTGTCGGTACATCGAAGTGCTGAAGTGTTTGTACAGTAGGGCTACGATGGCTATCCGAGTACAGAACCAGAGTTCGAAACCTATCCAACTGCAGAGAGGTGTAAGACAGGGTGATGTTATATCCCCGAAACTCTTCACCGCTGCGTTGGAAGACGTTTTCAAGCTACTGGACTGGAAAGGATACGGTATTAACATCAATGGCGAGTACATCACTCACCTTCGATTTGCCGACGATATAGTCATTATGGCAGAATCGCTGGAGGACTTAAGCATTATGCTCAATGACCTCAATAGTGCCTCCCAGCGGATAGGTCTTAAGATGAACATGGACAAAACAAAGATCATGTTTAATGTCCATGTCACACCTATGCCGGTAGTTGTTGGGAGCACTATGCTCGAAGTTGTTGACGAGTACGTTTACCTGGGACAAATAGTCCGACTAGGTAAGTCCAACTTCGACCGAGAGGTCAATCGACGGATTCAACTCGGCTGGGCAGCGTTCGGGAAATTACGACATATCTTTTCGTCAGGTATACCTCAATCTCTAAAAACTAGATTGTACAACCAGTGCGTGTTGCCAGTGATGACTTACGGATCTGAGACGTGGTCCTTCACTGCTGGCCGTATGAGGACGCTTAAGGTCGCTCAGCGAGCTATGGAGAGGGCTATGCTTGGAGTTTCTCTGCGTGATAGACTCAGAAATGAGGATATCCGCAGTAAAACCAGAGTGATCGACATAGCCCAACGGATTAGTAAGCTGAAGTGGCAATGGGCCGGCCATATAGCTCGAAGAACCGATAACCGATGGGGAAGAAAGGTTCTCGAGTGGCAGCCTCGTACCGGTAGGCGTAGTGTAGGGCGACCCCCCACTAGATGGAGTGACGACCTGGTAAGACATGCAGGAAGTCGATGGATGCAGGTGGCTCAGGACCGTGCTTTGTGGCATTACTTGGGGGAGGCCTATGTTCAGCAGTGGACTTGTGAAGGGCTGTAATGATGAATGATGATGATGATGACGTTCTGGCACACATAGTCGAGCGGCCAGTGTTGCCATTTCCACAGCTCAGAATATTTGACTTAATGAGGAGTGTCGTCGTTGGTTTTCCAATAGAGATAACTTAAAAACCCACCTTAAGGTATTATATTCTGAACTTTCATATAAATTACATAATATTGAATTTTATATTTTGGAACGCCTTGAGGAAGTTCTCGGCTTCAGCCAGAGAACTTGCTTCAATGGCTGTTTACGAGAAATTTCAAATTCAGTCCCATAAGTTAAAACGACTTGTATCTTCTTCATCCCGTAAACGTAATAACGACATATCACCTATTTTATCCCTATTTTATCCCCGCGTTAAAAATCTTTCCGATGTCCAGTTTCCAACGGATGAGTTGTCCCTTTTACACGAAGGTGTAAAGTATAATTTAACACCGTCGGTCTCCCAAAGATCGTTAGGGACTATGGCCGTTGACGCGGAGGTGGCTGTTGTGATCGGGAGGAAAGATAACATCGTTAAAAGTTTGTTAGCTAAAGAAATTCAGGATGTACCTGCATCTTCCCATTGCAATCCTGAGTTCCTCATTTTTATGTCGCTAAAGCAGAGAATAAAAGACAATAACCTTATTGTTACTAAAGCTGACAAGGGAAATACTGTTGTCATTATGGAGAGTAGCGGATACAGCCAGAAGGTTAACGATGTTATCCAAGGTAACGACTTTCAGCTGTTGGAGTCTGACCCAACTAAAAAGTTTACTTCGGATATTAAAGTATGTATACAAATGTCGTCATATGTTTTTCCCGATCACAACTTGTTTCGGAGCAATCTTGTTCCAATGAAACCTCAAGCACCCACTTTATATGGATTGCCTAAAATACGTAAAGAACATGTTCCTATTCGTCCAGTTGTCACATATATAGGTGCACCAGC